CTCTCTCTCTCTCTCTCTCTCTCTCTCTCTCTCTCTCTCACTCACACACACACACACACACACACACACACACACAGAAATCACAAAGATGCACACAGTTGCTGCCTCAAGAGCCAGCTGCTATGTTTCATTATAGGCAGATTTTGTAAGACCAAAGGACCCTTTTTATGATCTCAGTAAATGCACAAAGAAAAATAAAATTAAGGCTTGAGGGGGGAAGGTTTTTACAATGGTGAGGATAGGCTTGAAAATACAATGTGTCATGTTATAGAGTTGTCAAAGAAGGCCATACAGTATCAGTTTGCAAGCTGCCCTAAAGGTCCTAAATTACCCGTTCTGCATAATTTAATTTATTCCTGTTGACCACAATAAGAGAGAATACAAAAAAGTGGGGAGACAGCAAGAACTGCCCTCCAACCTTCTATCCTGATTACAGTAGACTGTAAAAGTTCTGAGTTAGAAGCAGATTGTCACTTATTTCTCTATCCTGATGCTCTGTAGATAGGTTGAGACTCAACCCCTAAATGGCATAACTCTTTTGGGATTCTGGGAGATGGGAGTCCTAACATATCAAGGAGGACACAAGGATGGAGAAGTCTGCCTTATCCCATCAGGATTACTTTGTTACTGTGTCACTGCAAAATTAGGCATGCATTGTACTGATTGTAGAGATAGGCAAAACTGTTTTGGTTTGCTAAATTTCTCATTTTTCTGGCTATATGTATATTTTAGCCTGGTGTATATCAGTTTGCTAAGTGGAGACGATTTGCAAGAAAATGCATGCATTTCTCCTAGTACATGCATTTTATATGACTTTCCTCAAATGTGCATGTTCATTTCTGCATGTACCATTTTCTTATATATACATTTTTGTGTCTTGTATATGCATTTTGTAAAGACTTTTAAAGAACAGCAATACAAAATTCTTCTATATATAAGTACAGCAAATGTGAATAAAATTCATTGTTTTGTTAAACCATATCAATTTATATAGTTTGGGCATAATTTTCTTACAATGTAAACCTAGAGTTCATTCACATATTATGTATGAGAAAATCTATGATTTAGCTTCACTAAGGCTAAATCATAAATTTTATCATATATAATATGTGAATGAACTACCTTACATTCAGTTCAACCAAGCTGTACCATACATGTCAAAAAGATGATTTCTCTTCTTGTCTTAAAAAAATCAGGCTGCAGTGAAAGCTGTTGTTGCATCAACTCGTCTTGGAAGTGCAAGCTGCCATAGCACCCACGACAGCAATAAGCTTAGCGAAAGCCAGCTTGTAAGCCCAGGAGATGATACAGAAGAAAAAGATACAACAGTAAGCCACATAACTCAGGAAATGGACATTCAGGAACAAGGATTTGAAGGAGGAGAGCTGTAGATCTTGCAATGTCTTCTTTCAGCAAAAATCTCCCATTTCATGCACCAGCCAAATTACCATTCAACAAGAATGAATTATGGATGGCTTCGCTTTCATAAAGTCCAACTGTAGCTGGTGACCTGAACTTTAATGCATGTGATTGCTTCTGAAAAAACAGTAAAGTCTTTTATTGGCATGCCATGGATAAAGTGATGTTTACAATACAACAATCCCAACAGGTGAAATGAAGAGTA